GACCATCGAATATCACTTTGGGATCATATTCGAACCGCAATCGACACTTTTACATTTCGAACGAGAGACGCCAAATTGGAGCAACGTTCGTGGACACACTCGAAATAATTCAGTTCAAACAGCGAAACGTCATCGGTTATTTTTTCCCCGGGCGCAAACACCCCGGTTGTCGCTCACCCTCGCGCATTAACTTCCCCCCTCCACGATTGAATGCAGACGGGAGAGTTGACCGCCACGCTGCATTTCAAGCGGCTCTCCTCCTCCTCCTCCTCCAGCGTTAACGCTCGCGTGGGTGTGGGTGTGCACGCTTCAATCGTACACACCGGGCGGAACGAGAATAGTAACTACACGGCAGAGGTACCCACACACGATTCCACGGGCAAAGGGTGCCGACCTATCTCTCGTCCCGTTGCTCCGCAGCTTTGAAGCTGGGACGGAGACCGGCCATGTGATATTACACGCCGATATAATTAGAGCCGTATAGTCGTCAACATCGACATAACGGAGAAATATCGGATTTGTTTTGGTTTTCGATGGTCGGATATTACGTGCCGCATATAAATATAATAAAATCGGTAAATATCGGGATAAAATAGAAATAGATGGATTATTGCGATATTAATGATATTATCGTTACTTTTGAGAAAATTATATTGTTGTTCTTCGAAGTAGAAGAATTTTCTTCTAAGATTAAGGTTTTTTTTTTTATTCATATTTCAATTCGAGTTTGCGATTTGTAATTGTTTCGAAGAAACTTTTATCTATCGTTTTTGAATTATTAATTAAAATAGATGAGATGGGTTATTGCGATGTTAATGATATTATCGTTACTCTTAAGAAAATTATATTGTTGTGCTTCGAAGTAGAAGAATTTTCTTTAAGATTAAGATTTTTTTTTTTTATCCATATTTCAATTCGAGTTTGCGATTTGTTTCGAAGAAACTTTTATCTATATATTGCTTATTTTATAACACAAGTCATTTTTGAATTATTAATTCGAAGGACTGAATATTTCTGTCACAGTGATTTCTACGTGGATTTGTATTGATCATTTTTTTTGCCTACTTCCATAAGTGCACGATGTTTTATGAGTACACAAGCGTATCTGCACGACCACGTAAGAGCGCAAATATTTATCAAACTACTTTTGAAATCAGTACTAACTTCCTACACGCAATATCAATGCTTCCACGAAGGGAAGGAATAATAGCATCAGCTGGCAATAGCAATTTAATACATCCTGTAGCTGTACATGTTCAAAAAAATAAGTAGTTAAAACAAGATTTGCCGATTAATAATTCGTTTTAATAAAATGAGAAATCAACAGTTAATTTCCATAAAGCCAAAAATTCAAATTACGTACACGAAAAGCGTACACAAGTTCGTCGTCGAACTGTTAACAAGGCGACATCCTCGATAAATCTCGAGCGACCATATTTCGCGTAATTCAAAGCAATCTGTTTGCATCCCAGAAAGACGACACGTCGGTTCTCGTATCACTCGTTTCTCTCCAAGAGACCGCCTCGTGTCGTAATCCTTCATGGTGGTCCAGATCTTGCGGCTGGATTCTTCGAGGTCGCATGAAACCGCGATCGTCAACGGGCGCACCGTTCACCAAAAAATATATGGCCACGCGTTACAGATATTTCGTACGGTAACAACCTTCCTTGACATCGATAACAACGTATCCGGTAATCGAAGATTAAAGTCGAAACGGTTGCTTGTAACCGTTTCGCTTCGAGATTCATCCTTGATCAGGATGAATCGGCATTGCACGAAGAAACATTACACGGATCACCAATTAGATAAACGAATTTATGTTAAAAGTGGAATCATTGTTTGTACATGGAATCAGATTGAAATCGATTATTGGGAATATTGGTGATTCGAGTTAATATTTGGACAAAATTCGTATATCACAAGGTGTCCTTATCGATAAAACGGGATTTGAAGTTTTTTCCATATGTAAAGATAGATGGAAATGTGGAATAAAATTTCTTCGTTTAAAATTTCGTTTTAGATATTCTATAAATTTTTCATGTATTCTTGAATGTAAAAGTAGAATACGTAAGATTAGAATATACTTTAGCGACGACGTTTGATGGATCGGGACGGTTCTATTTTACGCATCGATTCTATCTTACCGTATCGTCACCGTATTTGGAAAGTAGTAGTTCAGAAAGGCGGTCGTACTACTAAGAAGAAACGAAAAAGGTCTTAGACTTTCTATGAACTGTCGGTTCATAAAAAAAAAAAAAAATAAGAAATTTCTACGATAAAGAATATTTCTTGGATTGATCCTTTCGTGAAAAATTAATTAAATCAACCTCCAATAGTTGCACGATTTTTATTTGCTTCAAAGAATAATTATTTTTCCTTTAATCTTACAATTTTTTTCTAATTTTAAGAAGATTGAAAGAAAAGAAACAGAAGAATTCTAGAAAAGTAAAATTCGAAGTTACAGTTTCATAAAACAAGTGTCATAAGAAAAGAACGAAATCGAGAAAAGAGTGTTAAAGTTCGAATGTTGGCTATACATATCTTGATTCTGAGAAGTCTTCGCGTGTAATTCGGTTAATGGAAAGAACTTTGAAGTTCGTTGAACTTTGTCGTATCGTGCTATCTAGCGAATTACCTATCGATGGCTGTTCATGCCGCAGTTTGATCTATGAAACTATGGAGAAACTATGAAACTATAAATTTAAGAAATAAAGGAAAGAAATAAAATTCTAATAAAAAAAAAAAGACAAAAGATAGAATGTGCAAAATTATTCAAAAAAGTTTATTAGATCTGATATTACTAAAAGATGATTCGTATATTTATCATATTGATTATTCCAGCAATGTTTTATTCACATCTCTAATTTTAAAAATTCGTCACATTTCTAGATTTTAAAAAATCATCGTATATCTCCATTATTCCATGTTATAAATTATAATATAAATTTGACATATGGCACGACATTGATCATCAATTCTCACATGATTTCTTGAATCATGCATACGCCCAAGGATCGCAATCAATGCAAAACGAATCCATAATGAATTCCTTTTTACCAATGCAAATTATTCGACAATAAATCCATGCCTGTTGATGCACATTTTATCCATCGGCATTATTAATCAAACCCAATTCATACCACACACGCAGTTCCAAAGAAAAATAAATTCCACGAATCCAGAAAGGAAATCAGTCTCTTCGTGCGAATTATTTTTATAAATATAAACGAGAAAATTCAGAATACATTCCTTCTTAATACTTTTCAAAAATCTATTAATTTTTATTCCATCGAACAAATGCTCTGCTCTTAAAATCATCCTCTACGATTAAATCAATAATTTTCGTGAATCGAGAAAGAAACAAAACGGACACGGTTTTTTTTTATCGCCGCAACATCCGTCAAAAACATGACTAAACGAAAGGCCAAATGTTACGAATATCCTTTCCCACGTCGTGCCAGATGCGAACCTTTTGTGCGGTACGAAAGAGTCGTGTACGCACGGCATGAACACCAGCGTGACCAGCTCTTTCCTTCGTCCCTTTAAGGCGAATCCACATCGCGAAGGGAACACGCGGCCACGGAAAAATAAAAAAAAACAAGCCGAGTACACGTGCGGAACTCCAATCCTCATTACATCACGGCGATTCCTTTCTGCACCTCGTAAACTTTCGCAACGAGGAACGCGATAAAAATAGAACTTTACTCATTAGAACGAGGAAAAGTTTTGAACAGTTAAATTATCGACTTGACTTTTTCCTTTTGTCGAATATTCATCGAGATCGATCGAGAAAGATTGCTATTCGATTGAAGATTTTTCTTAATTTGATTTTTAACGAATATTATAGAGTTTTAAGAAAAAAACTCGAAAACGCTCTCTATTTTAACTAGTGTCGTATTTTAGAAAAAACTCGAAACGCTTTCTATTTTAACTAGTATCGTATTTTAGAAGATTTAATTTTAATTTATTAATTTTGAAAGATCCGTATTTATTCTGAGTTGGATATTTTTTTTTTTCTAAATTTAAACATGGAATATTGAGAATTTGAACGATAAATTTTCAAACAAATGAAGTGTAAATTTCACGAGAAAAAACGCGATATATAAATTCTGAACTATTTTCTGAAGTATTCGTAAGATCGTAAGAAAGTTCTGTAAACGGATTAAAAGGCTGATTGATTGATCGGTAAAAGTATATTTATGTTATTATTCGAAGCGGATGCGGCGAATTTCCGCGTCAACATCTCATAAGTCAAGAAAATTATTGGTTGATGGTTATCGGAAATTTGCACGGAAAGTGTGTGAATAACAGTCGTCGACAGTAAACGAGGTTTATCGATCAAAAATTTCATTTGAATACACGGGGTGATCCAACAGTTACGTCAGATATTTTATTTTCTCCTATCTATAACGAAAGGTGAAATTCGATGAAACTATTTCAATTAAATTACCTTATATATTAATTAGAAACACAATTACTTCAAAATCCTAAAACAGTATTTCCTACTTTTAATTCTTCACGGTCCGCGAACATAATTGCAAAGATTCACGGTTTACGAACAAAATCCCATAAAAAGCAAACAAAAAAAAAAAAAAGAAGCTACAATCCCTTTCAGAAATTTCACTGTTCCTTTCCCAATAATTAATTTCTTATATATTACAAACCATTTCATCATTGTATATCGTAACACAAATTACAATATACCCCAATTAAATCATTTATTCAAATAACACAACCATATTCTCAAACTTTGTACTTTGTCTTCACATCAATCCATCCCCTCAAATCTATTCAAATATCTCGAGTGGAAGCAAAAACACGATACCCACCCCGTATATCCTCAAACGGAAGAATTCCATGTCAAAAACGTTATAGGAACACGCCACTCCGTCTTATCTCTCTCAATTATCAAAGCATACACGCACACGCATCCCTTCCAAATCTCTGACACCCCTAAAATCCAGCAAAACCTCCCGATATAAAATCAGACAGCTACTCACTCAACGTTTTATTGATCCAATCGGCCAGGTCCTCCTGCAACGGCAGCAACTGTCTGCTCTGTGCCGAGTGCAGACGCTCGTGATAGAACTCGGCGTACTCTTCCTCTTCCGGCGAGGGCCTGGGCACGTCGGCTCGATTGAACACGGTGACCGAGGAGGGTCCCCAGCTGCTTCGATAACGGGTGTGCTGCGAAGACGGGAATCGATTGGCGTACGACATCCTGGAGGAAGGAAAGGATGATCGGTCCCGGTGGCCAGCACCGGCGCCCCACTTCCTCTCGTCGATCCTCCGCCAAATCCTCTCCTTTATCGCCTTCCCCCTTTTTCTTTTTCTCTTTTTTTTTTTTTTCTTTTTACGCCGCAGATTCCTCACCGCAGGATCCTCTCGACTGCTACTGAAGAGCCCCGGCGACGCCGCGCGATCCGGCACGTCTGTCGATTACGCGAGCCTGAAAAGCAAAATCCTCTCTTGGTCTTATCGTGCCTCGTCTTAATATGGCCTCCGCTGTGGATCGCAAACGATCTTGACGAGACCGTGAAAGTCTTTCGGGTATGTAAAACGAGGGATGAGAGGGAAAAGGGAGGTCGGTTGTTGTCGTTCTTACATTTTTGTTTCGTACGTTTTCGTGATTTAGAGAATTTTTCGTGAGGTGATACGAGAGGTCATTGTCGAGACGATTGTACGAGGCTGCACGAAATTTAAACGAGATCGGCGGCACTCCCTTTGAGTCTCTCTAGCAAGAGATCGTACGCTGTGTAATAAGGTCCACTTTCTCTTATAATCATAAAGAATAATAGGGAACGTATGCCATACAAGGTATGTGGAGTTAAAGGGTTAAGGCGAGATTTACGTATATCACGATGCTTATTCGTATTATTATATTATATATCTTTTGTATGTAAAAAGATTGGAATAATTGTTTTACCTGTAAGGAAAAAAAAAAAATATTCAAAAAGTGATTTTTCCTCGAATCAAAAAGTATTCAAAATATAAAAAAGATTATGACATTGCTAAATCATTAAGTATATATCGCAAAAAAAAAAGTATGGAATCAAACTATTTTCGCATGTTATAGTGGGTTTAATATGGTATAAATAATTGGAGGGATCAAAGGGATAGAGGAACGATGCCGGAAGACGCGTGTACTTACGCGAACAGTAACCATAAACGGGATAAGAGATGCTGGTCGAGAGATTTCCGACACGAATGACTGGCAGCAAGGAAAACGAGCCTCGAGTGGCGTTTTCGGGAATGAATGGATTTTATGTTAGAAGCTGTTTATAGGATCCAGCCAGACAATGTTTCGTAATAACCTTGAGAGGGATGAGACTTCTCGATTTAATAATGCGATGCTGCGGGTTCGATAAATAGCGTGGTTTATATCGTTTGTACGATTGTACGTCTTATACAGAATGTCTCATTTATAACGTATGTCTGATATTATTATTTATCTTATCCTTTAGAGAAAAAATTAAAAAGAAAAAATTCAATATTGAATTCAAAATAAAAGTTATTTGACAAATAATCATTATTTTATTTTTAATGTTATTAAATAAATATTAAATAAATATCACCGGCAAAAATAAGGCAGGACAGACAAATAAAAATTTCGTGCAAAATATTTGAGAAGAATCGAAACGATAAAAATAGTAAGCGTAATTGTTAGATCGCGATTCGAGGAGTGGACATAAATTTCCACGAGGCTCGTGTTCTCTCAATGTTCACAAACGCCTCTGTATTTAAACGACATTTGCCGCTATTTAACATTCATCGGCAGCCCCCAAGGAACGCGAGAGAGACGCGTCTTACGCAGAAGCATCGCGATTTTGCTGAATCCGCGTGGGATTCGAACGATCGACCATAGAAAAATACAAGAGTAAGAGATCGAAGTAAAAGGAAAGAGAAAAAGAGAAAGAGAGAGAGAGAGAGAAATAAAGCTAAATCTTCATAAATCCTTTCGATTTTCCACGGAGGACACTGTCGCCTCTTGGTGACGCAAATGCAACAAACATGGTCTGATGCAAGCGTGCAATGGAGGTTAGCGGATACATACGAATCGATGAAATGAAAATCCGAATAATAGTCTGGCGATCGACGTACAAACCTACGTGTGTCCTTCGACATCGATCTATTAACGCTCTGTCGTTGGCTGTTCGACGTAATGCAATCCGTTGTAAACAGGTGACGACTCGACCGCGTGTCCAGGTAACATTATTCGTTTCTTTTGCACATTTCTTTTCCACTTTTGCGTGGATATACGTGATTCGTTAACGCAATTGCGGACGGGTCACGTGGTGTCGCGTGTGTCGTTTCTGGTATTTGGAAAAGCGAGAATTGTAAATGACGAGTGCGATATCGAGTAGAATTTGTAAACACGTCGATTTGTTTTATTGAGAAAAAATTAATATTTCTTTTTTTTTATTTTATTTTATGTGAATATTAATCTTGCAAATATATATATAAATGATTATTAATGATAATGACGTTGAATAAATCTAGAGAATTGAATTTTGTTATAAAGTTACGTGATTAAGTATTCACGAATTATTAATTATTTTTTCAGTTAAATATTGAATGATTAAGTTTCACCTTGTATTTATCAATAGCAGCAATTCAATGTTGCAGTTCGAAATGATCGAAACAAGGTGAGCAACTTTTTCACAGAAACAAACCACGGAAATCCCCACGAAAATACCGAATTGCAGTTTACGACGACAGTGGAACATCGATTATTCGGATAAACTGGGGTCGTTTCGATAATGTATTCTGATAATAAAATTTACTGATAACCTAGACAAAATATATAGATAAAAGTGATAGTGAAATTTACGCAATTTCAAAAAAAAAATCATTTATAACGAAATGAAAAAATGTACAATAAATGTTAATCTTTCTCGATACCTCTATATATTATCAACGGTTTAACATTTAAGAAATTAATATTCGTACGAATCACGAAGTAAATGAGAAATCTGAACGATATTGATACTTCCATATAAAATACGTTTTAATGCACTTATTTTATGGACAGAGAGAATTCTTGGTTAATTATTATCGAGTTCTCTCATAGGTGACACGAGAACGTGGGCGGCAGATATCAGCTCGAGTCTCGTGATAGAGTTGTTCGTAAATCAAGCAGCTGGTGATCGATTATTACCGGCGACAGCTGGCCAATTAATAGCGTTTTCGCGTTATCGTGACAAATGGAGCAGAAAAGCGAACATGTCGGCTTCAAGGTAAGTCGATGCAACAGGAATCGAATCGAGTTCGCTGTATTTACTTTGCCTCTTAATTTATGCGTACATCCGCCGTGTCGGTGTTCTTCTTTTAAGAAAATTCTATCGAGAATAACACACGGGAGAAATTGGAAATCGGAAATCCCTCCTTTTACATTGTATAAATGGGACGATAGATATGCTGTTTATAATTTCGTTGTGAAATTTTCATAGCATATTACGATTAATCGGGGAAGATAATTTTTTTGCTTGGAAATATTTTAAAATTAATTAGTTATTTATCTAAAGATTGAGCAAAGTTATTGCAAATATGTTAAATTTTTAAATATTTGAATGAATAACATTTATTTGTTCTTGAGAAATTATAAAGTTAAAAAAAATTACAAAAAATAGATAAATTCTTTACGAAAGTTATATTGAATTGCGTGGTATTGCGACCGATCTTGATAATAGTCTAATTTGCAGATGGAAATAATCTATGCTCAAACTCTATTTGAAGGCTATTCACTAATTATACCGATATAACGTAAGTTTTCATGACATCAGTCATCTGATAACGTGTAACAAACAACTACCAGCCAATACATAATAATTTTAAAGACTCAAATTTTGTACAGAATTATATTCCATAAACATTTATCAACGAAAGTAATTCAATTTATTTAATACAATTTACGAATAAACAATTAAATCAAAATCTAATGCTTCCAGAATTTATACCGATGTACGATAATTTAACGAAAAAAAAGAAACTTCCGATCTGATTCCATACCTCTTACACTTTTTCAAACTTTTCCAAACTTCCCGAACGACTTGATCGCCAGTGTATCCACCACAATCCCCTCAAACCCAACAACAAATATATAATTCACAACCTTCCTTATACCTCTTTAATCACCGTGAGACAGGAACTCTATCCCGCGCGGAACCACATATTCTTTTACCCGATCCGTTGCACTCACGTCCTACGATCCAACACCCGTGTCGCTGGGGATCACATCCGTCGATTCCCAAGTTCAATCAAAGGAATAACCACGAAACGATCGAGTGCCCGTAAAACGATTTCGATCCCCTCCCCCCGATGCAATTCGTTCTCGCGACGTGGCCAATCAATTTAGCACGGGACGCACGTGATCCTCGCCCACAGAGTGACACAAAGCTGAACGATTCGCGGCAACCGTATGTTTACCGTGTTCCGAGGGATAATCGTCGATTGCTCGAATCTTCGAAGCACTGTCGTCGCGAGACGACACAACCCACGCTATCTAGTAAATTATGCCGGTTTTAATTAAAGCCTTAACGCGAGCGGAACCGCGCTGAATTGGAAACGCGGCTTATTGTTGTTGTATCGAGTGACGTCTCTCTTGCAACTAAATTTTCGAATTTTCACTTTTCGCTACTCGATCGTTTTGAGTAAATTCTCGGGTCGACTTTCAAACGAAATTGCGTCTTCTTCTTGCGAAAAATATATATTTGTAGAGGAAATTCTCGAGAGTGAAGAGTAATTGTAACCTGAATGATTGTATTTCTAACCTATATTAATTAATAATGATTGGATTAAAGAAATATAAGAATGAGAGTAACTATTGAGAGTTTTTACTTTTAAATATAATTTTGTTATTAAAGTAGAGTTGTTATTGGGAGCAACTCGTGAGAATTTTATCGTATTCTTATATTTGAATTTGTGATGTTAGCTTTGTTTATATATATATATATTTTTTTTTAATATTAAATTATTATAAATATATGATCATACATGTAATTATGTGTCTAGATAAAATCTGATAATTTTAATTTGTTTAATTAATAAAGTTATTATTCGCGTAAATTTAAATTCTCGTTGAATTTAAAACGCAGTTAAATATTCGAAGAACGGATGTAGCTTACACAGGATCGAAAGGGAAGTATTGTGGGAAAGGGGAAAAATTTCTGCAAACATTCTTCCATTAACATTTCGTTATTTTCTTAAAGTAAATGATGTAACAAAATGGGTAAACGTTACGATGCATCGAAATTCCTATAAAATTGGTTTGACGAAAGAAATTGTTGTAGAACAATGGTTTTCATTCCTTGGAAAATTATAGGAGAATAGGAGAATTCGAAAAATTTACATTGTAAATAAAAAAATACAAAATCTAAATTTATTCCGCAAATAGGTCTCGTGGATTATAAAATTTCATTTAAGGAAAAAAATTGTTTCACTACTCAAGTC